ATCTATACATATACACTAAGCATAAAGACGATTTGTATAAAATAAAATAATAATTTTTATACATAGGTGTACTAGCTTAACCATGTTCTTGTTAATAATATTATTCGTACAATAATCATATATATATTTTATTAATTTATCTTAGGAATTTATTCATGATATGATACGATTTTCGTTCAACTTTTGAAAACTAACTTATTTACATATTTTGGATATATATAATTTGATAAGACAATATAAAAGTAATCAATTAATTTCTTTTTGAGACCTTTTCATTGAATAAATAAATCAGAAAGTTAGCATGCCTATACATCATGTCCTTTTCTTAACTTATGTCTTATTTATGCGATAAACATTTATATTTTATTATTTTATTATAATATTATAAGATATCAAAATATTAGTTACTCAATTACCTATATAAAATTATTAGTTATAGTAATATACCTCTTTTGAATTACATTTTATGTTTTATATCGATGTATAAAATGGAAATTTCTAAAAAAAAAAATAATACTCTTATGATTATCCAACTTACTCTGTGCATGATATTGTAATAATAACAAAAGGTTTTCAAATACATAGGTATATAAAACAATAAGATTTGTGAATATTTTTTATAAATTATTCTATATTTATATAGTTAAGATTTTCAAAAAAATAATAAAAAATCTTAATTAACTGTATAAATTAATAAATTAATCAATACAATTATTATAATTTTAAAGTTTAATGCTGAATTGCGTTTTCTACTAGGCAGATTCATCATGATATAATACATATTCATTTTTATTATTAATTATTCAATTTTTAAGAAACTTTGAATAAGAGGAATAAGAGTTATAACATGATTTGTTTAAAAATAAATTAAATTAATTCGGTAAATATTGACGACTGAAAAAATTACTAAATAAATATTTGAAAATCGTATTTGAATAAATATTTACATTCTATCGTATTACAAAAAAAAATCACATTTATACTTAAATAACTATAATGCTATTAACTTATACCTGTTAAAGTATGATTTTTTAATTTATAGATAAACAAAAACGTATTATATTATTTAATTAAATAACTGTAAAACCCATAACCAACGAGAATTTTGTGCAAGAATTAGATATTTTAAGAACTAAGATATATTATTTGGAACCGTACATTATGTGAAGCATTTTTTCAGACCTACCCTAACCTTATAAAGAGCTATTTCATTATTTGATCAAACCAATGTTTTCCTTGAACTACAATACACCACAATACATGTTATATTCAAATGCCTGTTGACGGCATATATATATGTATAATATGGTGTTCAAAATCAAATTAAAATGTATTATTGATATACTCAGTAGTCAGTTCTCAGTTTTAAAACTACAAAAGGTTTGATACCACGTGGAAGAAAAAACAAACAAAATAATAAAATAATATTATTTTCCCACGAAAAAAAAATATTTATTATAATTAAACTTCGTTTATTGTACATACCTTCTCTTTTTTTTACTAATAAAAATAACTCCAAACAACACGAGCGTACGTGTTTTTTAATTTTTAATTTTTTTTTTTTTAATTATGTTTATTACTGAAATGTTAAATTAATTTATTCCGAGAAAATTATTTTCTTTTTACACTTTAATGCATTAGATATTACTTAGAGGCATACTAAGCTTGCCATATTAGCTATTTACCAGCAACATTTTGGTTACCAAGAATTAACATATTATTATTATTTAATATTATTGCAAGTGGTGTGCGTGGTAAGAAAACTTTACAGTTTAAGAATTATTATCGTACAAAATAAAATGAGGAAATGTCTGCAATAATCGAACATGATTATTAATTTAATCAATCGCGTACCTCCGATCATCACACTCTCACGTACGTACGTACCTATATAATATGTATCTCACAGGCTCAGATTCAAAGCGTGATGGGAGGGGAGGGGGAGGGATATAGGTGCTCTGTGCTAAGCTATGAGTCCTTAAACGTAAAGCCGTAACGATAATGAACATAACTAAACTGTACAAATAATTAAAGAAATATACATTTTAGTTTTCCGTGCACCGTTTTATTGTTTTGAAACACTTACAGCAGAGATTCCTAACCTTTTTTACTCGTGGCACCCCAAAGTATGAACATAATGTAAAGCTCTATAAATCCAAAGGCATTCCGCAGTAGAACATCGTGCATTTATACTTACATTACATTTTATATAATCTGTGCTATTAATTTAAATAAAATACACAGACCGCCACACATTTCATTGAACTATTTTTTTCTTTTTTAAATCGTAAAAATATGTACGATTGCTTTATATTATAAATAATTTTCCACTAAATCAAATTCTCCGCACCCAGGTCGGGAACCTATGACTCATGAGAACAACTACGCAGCGTCCCGAAGCGAATAAAACATGTCGAGATAAAATTTAAGACCGTCTGCGAATGATCGGAATTTACTTAATACTATAACGCGTGTATCCGTATATTGTCACACCGACGACCTGCCGATCGTTCGCGGGGAATGATTGCTATGGGTTTTCCGAATGTTTGCTGTAATGACGTAGTTCAACTGCGTCATCGACACTCTGTTTGTACGCGAAACTCCGTCGCACAAATATTCGGTATATTGTCACTTGTCACGCATATTATACACATATAATATAATATATATATATATATAGTCCTCCAGCCCTAGATCTAATGTGCAAAAGCCACCCGGGCAATCTGTCGTGAAGTTAGTGTTCAATCACTGGGTAATGAATCGGTGCCGAACGAGTGAGCGACGGGCTAATAAATTCGAATTACGCTCGGAACTCTGTAGTCACTTACAATATATTATAATATACACTACAACTATACACAACCGTTATACACGTAGAATTGACACGCGCACACCTTATATCATACGTGTACGAGCGCAGTTCGAACGACCAACGAGTAGGTACCTAAACTTTGATTAAAGTGGTATTTTACTCCGAACGTAATGTATGCCCCCCGTCAACAACTTCTACTTAGCCTCACAAATATATGCTTCAAACAATAAATGGTGAGTACCTGCTAATACGGCGGTCGACGATACAATGAACGAAATCGAAAAAATTGAAAAATAATGAGTGCGCCGATAACAATGATATTACACGTCTCCACATCGGGCGTATTCAATAGTGCGTTTTTTGACAGAAAAAATTTAAAACATCACAGACATTGGATCACGCAACCTCGTGCCAATAAAGTCTAGAGGAGCCTAGGGAGTGGGGGGCACTGGTCTGGTCGGTTTGTTTTAATATCAGACGATCGTATTGTATTGTTAGCTACTGACAATCGAAATAAGGCTTTTTTCCTCTCATTACGGGCCCAAGATCAAGATTTTCTTATATTCAATGTAGGTAGGTACGTGAGCAGTTTGAACGACCAACGCCTAAAGCCCTAACTAACTACACACTTTAATTAAATTGGTATTTTACTACACTGAACTTAATTTACCCCCCCTTCGTCAACTACTCAGCCTCGCGAATTTATGCTTCAAAGAATAAATAGTAGTACAACGACGATGCAATATAGGTGAAATCGAAAAATTGGCCTGTGGCAATAAAGTCTCGCGATGTGTAATAATATACGCTCTGGAGGAATGTTGCGAGAACATTTTGCTACCTACAGAAAATGTGGGTATATTTTTTACCCCTCGAAAATGTTTGAGCTCGTACACTACACATAGATAGTTATACAGTTTACTGCCTATTTATAGCGTATATTTATACACGTCATCATCGATCCTCTGTAGTTGATGTCTGCGTTGAAACTATAATATCAACACGGCGAGCACTAAACTGAAAAACTACAACAGCCAACACTCGATAATCCCGAACAACTCGAACGTATCGTTTGTACCTGACCATCCAAATTTCGGTGCGTTTGACGATAAAAAAGTTTTGCTCTTCGACGTTGTTATAACATATTATTATATTGTTTCGTGTACATAAATTTCGTATGTTCTACTCGCTCCGAGCTCAAGGGTACCAATTCTGTTTTTTTTTTTGTTGTTGTTGTTTTTACACAATATGGTAATAGGACGTGCGGTTTATAAATGGTTCGCTTCATTTACCATGCTTTTCCATATTTATCATTGCCGAAAAAAAAAGAATCGCCCTTCATTCGACGGCGACACTTTGGCCGTTTAAATTTAATCATGAACCTTTTGACTATAATTCAACGACGATGCTCGGTTTATATTATATATATATTTTTTTTAATCCCAAAACGTCTGAGTGAAAATAGCGTGGAAAAAAATGCCTCTGCTGCCGTCATATCCAGCGGCCTGCAAGCTGTTTCGCCGTCGTCGTCATCGCGACTGGTGGATTGGAGGGTACGTCAGCGGTCGGTGATCGCACCATAATATTATGTACAGGGCAGAGCAGACGCCTCGCGTATGTATAAGACACCCGTCTCCGAGGCTAATTTGCACATCTCGATACCCAAACGGTCCAGGGTAGTTTCTACAACGTTATCCCTCTCACCTCACCCCTCCCCCTCCCCCTCTCTCGATCACCCACTTCAACGGGTCCTTTTTGCCGAAATCCTGAGCAGCTCGGCGCCATGTGACGTGGCAACGACGGCGGCGACACTGGTGATACGACACGGCGTCTGAAAGTGGTTGTGTTTTAATTTGTCGCGAGAATAGTGTGGGGGCGTGTGGGGCAACACACTTTAGAAGTCTTGAGGCGTGTGTGTTGTAGTACGTCACACCTCTGCCCATAACTCGACTCGTACGACACTGCACCCCTCACCACACCGCCGCTGATCTAGAAATAGATACCCAAGTTCGACGAGTGCGGGTCGGGGGTGTGGTGGGCGGGGGAGTAGATTTTTACGTGTGTTGCAGCAGGCGGTTGTAGGCCGAAGGTGCCGTTTAATGTATATAATATATATATACCGACACCGAATGTACGACGAGAATTGCCGCTGGCGCGTCCGCGAGTGCGCGTCGGTTTTTGCGCTCACTACACGTCGAAGCGCACACGCCCGAACAACCGTTCAGTTTGACTTAGACCCACCGCAACCCACGACACGCCGCCCGTTGCCGATCGGTCCGCCATCACGTGCTCGTCGTACTCGTTTTTTATCGGGTGGAAAATTACAGAATAAAATATAAAAATATTTCGTTTTAAGCTTAAAACACAACAGTTACGCACAACAGACGTCGTTATGCGTGTGTCTTTACGACTCGAGGAGGCCGAAACGAACGAATAATTTACATTGTACAATACTCGAGTCTTATATGTGATTTCATCCAATCGAATAACGATCGATTGTCGATTTGCGCTGGTCGTAAGGTACATTATGATATTTTATTTTATTTTATTAAATGATAACGTTAAAAAGAAAATCAGGCCGGGCAGTAAAATCATCGGTTGATTTCATATTATTATTCTCGTCGCAGTCTAATCACGCTATAACTGTTGTAAACAACGACGACCAACTACTGCACGCTTTGTACTCTGGGTAAAATATTAATTTTCACTTTTTGAGAAGTCGAGATTTGAAAATTGAAATAAGGTTCTAATGAAATTCTCGAGTTATTTACTGCACACTGTTTTTTTTTTTTTTTTGTGTAGTTAATTTAAATATAAAATTGTAAAACCATTCGTATTTTAGTTTTAAGGCATAGAAGAAAAAGGTTTTATAGAAAACTTTTCTTTTGAGCATATATAATATGATATAAAATTTAAATTTATACATTGTTCATTAATCTCAATACTCCAAAAATATTTCACTTTTGTCAATTATTATAATAATTTATTTACCTAGGTATTTTTTTTTAAATATTATTAATACTATTCTGATTTCGTATATTTTTCATTTTTAATTCATCGGCTTAAGGAGTTTCATAAATTAAAAAATAACTCATATCACTACTTTATCACTCAGTTTAGAACCAAAATTTAAAAAATGAATTGAAATAGTCATAGCTTCCAGTTTTTTTTAAATTAATTATTAATTATTTATGTGTACAATAATGGACTATATAGCTCCATAATCCAGAATCAGGATTAAATTGCCATAAAATAAAATGGCAATTAAAACTATAATAAACTAGGTTATTCTATAATACACATCATATTATTTTTTTAGTATAATTATAATATACAATTATATATTTTATAGTTTTAAGAGATAGCTAATGTTTTATAAATTAGGTAAAATATATAATAATTTATTTCCTACCATTTCCTACCAAAATATAAACGTTTTGAAACATTTTAATAATTCGTTATATTTTTACATTTTAATGCTATTCGGAGATATTGTTTATTCAAAACAAAGTTAAATTCATAAATATAAATTTAAATACCTAGGAAACTAAAACAATACCTTCATATAGTAATTACTTATTTATGATTTATTTTTTTAATATCATTGAATATCATTGTTGTTTGTTTATATATTATTAAAAATAATAAATTTACAACAAACTTTTCAAATATTGGCCAGTGTAACAATTAAAAAAAACTTAATACAATATATTAATTAATTATCATTGATCGTCGTGTCCGTTCAATAATCGATTAATGACCTGTAAACATTTCCTGATATCATTGTAAATAATATTATACTTACTTGAAACGACATTATCGTGTTTGATAATAATATTCTCCACGCATGAATTCCATCACAAATTCACAACACTTCTCGGAGTCTACCTCAGAGAACAATAATCAAATGTTCACGGATTGATTACCACACACAAGCAGTAGTAGTTTGAGTCCATCACAATTTACAATATATTATTCTGTTTAACGTTTGCGATATTATTGTTCTCGTGAGTTGTAAACATAGGTATTATAGTGCTCACGTCGATTTAATGGCCCAACAATGAGACGTATCGCGATAACTGCTATGTATATTGAAAATAATGAATAAACTTATCAAATATTTTCCAATAACAGCTGAAAAAAAAACAATAAAAATGAAATACAATTTAATAATATTATTGTTGTCTCCGTTCGTAATTCGATCTGATGACGTTGTAACATAGTTTCCTGACTCTACTGCACATACACCTACTTGGTACGATATTGCAGTGATATTTGATAATGATATTCTCCTCATATGGATTCTATTGCAATGGTTCTCAGAGTCCACCTCAGAGAACAATAACAATCAAATGTCCGTGGATTGATTGCTATACACAAGCAATAGTAGTCACTATTGTGTCCATCACAGTTTACCGTATATTATTCTGTTTCAAGTTTACGATATTATATCGTCCTCGTGAGTTGTAGGCATAGTACCCACACAAGTTGAATTGTCTAACAATGGGTTGGTACGTATCGCGATCACTGCTACGTATGGACAACGAAACATCGTTATTCTAGAACCCCCGAATCTTCTCCAATAATACGGCCAGAAAACCCGCAGACCTTTGTTTCGTCGACCATAATTGCGTTTGGGTTTTGCCGATCACTAGCTATTTTCTTCGCACCAATCGCAACTGTCCGAGTCGAGTGATAATAATTGCTCTGCACATCTATTACCGAGTAATTTCCTTCCTGTTGTATTTTCTTTCGCGCGCCAACAACAAGCCTCATCATCTGTTTTTGCTATCCGATTTTGTCCACCCATCGATTTTGTTCGTCAAAATAATGAGCCGAGTGCAAGTGAGATAAAATAACAGAATGCCTAGTATATTATTATTATGTTCGCAAATTGGATATCTTTTGCAGTAGAACATTATTTTCATGAAGACGGTTTATGAACAGTATGTTATAAGAACAGAATATTATAGTACCTACACAACTGTGGAATATTAAACTTGACGAATTTCAGAAAAAAACAATAAATAATTGTATTAATATTGTTTTTTTAAATATATTATTATTTTCATGTATCCATTACATTCCGTTTCTATTCGTTTTATCATCACAAATCGATAGGAAAAATATTATTTTCTAAAATATGTCCAACCACACGCATACGTCTTACATGCCTATAATAATAGAAAAATCGAAGGTCGAACTTTTTGATTTATATAAATTTACTATCATGTGACATTATTAAACACGTACAAATATGGTTTTATACACTCAAAATTTTCTCACTGACACAATTTTACTATAAACCGATACAGTTGTTATAACATGACTGAACATACTTTCTCCTACTTATTAATTTGCTAAAAATGTAAAAAAAAAAACATATTTGAATGCATGTATTTTGTTAACTAAGTGTTAACATTAATAACTCTACTCGTTCGGCCAATTGTGACTCATTTGGCAAACGTTTGACCATTTAGGTTTTATATCTAACCTTACTCTGAATTTAATACACTTTGGTAATAGATTATACCAATGTATAATATAATATAAAATATATAAGTAATTCACTATGGTAAATAATGATTCATAATAAAACAAATATATTTAGAACATACCATTTTCATTCAAAACTATAGTTTAAAATTGTCAGCAATATCTGTATCTGATTAGAAAAAAAAGACAAAAACAAAGATTAGAAATCAGTAAACAACTTTTTAATGTATTTTAAGTACGATTGATCGATAATCAAACAGTTACTTAACTAATTATATTTGTTAACTTATCAGAAAAATGGATCTATAGGAAAAATTCAAATTATACATTACTCAACTGATCAGTTAGTAACATGATGGAGTTTAATGAGTGGAGAGCTTTTTGTCAAAAACTAGTTTTTGTTATTAGACTAACGTTCGTCTTTATTGCTGATATCATAATAAAATAAATTGCATTTTTTAAAATTATAATTATTATTACCTATTATGATGTCTAAAATTGAAAGTCTCTAATACAATGTCGATTTTTAATAATAATAATAATTGCATTTATTATATTTTGTTATTATTAAATAAACATAATTTAGGCAACGAACCTTTGAAGACAAACAACTAAATTAAATTCATCTGAAACTCGCGCTCAGAGTTTTTCATGAATGCATATTATTTCTATACACACGTATAATGCATTGATGAACCCAGAATGTTTCAGAATTTCGAGAATGTTCGATATCGACTTAATGTGTAGAGCTGCTGGTATCGTGATTTCTTCGCTAAAATTTCATCAATAGCAACTTTTGCTTAATAATATTTATACAATTTACTTGTATACATAGCGTTTTATATTGTTCAGTGATCAAATTAAAGTATTCAACTTTATTAATACGTCTGCTTTCTTCGTCTTCTTACGTATCTACAACTACTCGGATTTTTACCAATTTTATATTCGTTTTCAACTCTCTTTCCCATTCTCGTCCCTCGCATCCACAATTTCTTTATAAATTTATTTTTGAAACCACCACTACTTTGGCTTTTGACACGTCGGATCCAAGTGCTCATTGTATTACCTATCATTTTTCTCCCTTTTCAAGATGTCCAAATCACATAAATCTCTACTGATTCACTTTTATTTCCCATTCGAATTGCAGCTACATTTTTATTAACTTTGAATTTAATCTGAAATTCAGATATGTTCTAAAATACAAAAATATATTTCACGAGCGTTTTTTTTACGAGCATTGCTACACAATTAGGGAGAAATTATTTAAGTTTAATGTATGTAAATTGTTTAACTCAAATTAAAATTATTTTAAAGCATGTTGAGAGTTTAAAAATGCACATTCATTTTTTACACGATAAACCTTGATTACTTGTTGATCGGGTTAAAATATTAAATCATCATTTATAAAACTTGAAACTTATTTTTTTACATTTTATTGAATTTATAAAAATATATTTATACAATTTGTATGATATTTAATATTATACAAATAATTAATAAATATCATCAAATTACTCGTATAGGCAAAAGGCTAGTATTTTTAATCACAATGACCATATATATTTATGTATCTTAAACATGCACATTTTATCAATTTATTTTTTCACTAAGTTTTTGAAGAGTTAAAAAAATAACCTTTTACTTATAAAATATTATATTGTTTTAATTAACACAAAATATTATTTATTATACAAAACCATTTAATATAAAACAATTTCAATTTCTAAAAAGTAATTTGATTGTATCGTTTATAGGTATTACGTCTATACCCTATGGTATTCGTGTAAAATAATAATCCTTTACAGTGAACGAAATAAATTTAATACACTTTTACAAAATATTAGTCGTAAAAAATCATTCTAGTTTTGAAACAACTGTCATTTTTTAGTACAAGACAACTTTTCAATTTTTCTCCGGTAACCAAACTTGATAAAATAAACAGAATAGAAGGTACCTACCTAAAAATGTACTTTTTCTTCTACAATACAATACTAAACCAAATTTCAGTGTCTACTACATGACCA